CTGAACAAGCAATGTTTGATTCGCGGAGCGTGTTTTCGCCTGAGCGTACGTTTTGCTCGGGTGTGTGCGTCAATCGTTCTGCTACACAGCGAAACGCCACAGACGGTCTCCAATCAATATCCTTAAAAATATCACATGACACACAAAATTGGATGTCCATTGGATGGCTATTTTTGATGTCATGTGACAGCGGCGCTGTACGCAGTGTTTCTGTATGTTTTGTTCAGCTGTGTGCTGTGTCGGGTGGCGTGTGCGCGCTTGCTCGCCGAGCAGAACGCGAAACGCTGGAAAACAAAATTTCGCGTTTTGCTCGGGTGTGTGCGTTGTGCTTAAGTGATATCAGAACGTCCAGCTGTGCTATTTAGGTCATAGAAAAGGGGGGTATAAAATGGCCGAGGCGCGCTTAGGAAAGTACATGATTAATGTAAACACTCGTGTGTTTTTAGATTTTGCATTAACACAAACATGGCAAAATATCCCAAATGACCACAATCATATTTGTAAATGTTTCTGTAAACAGAAACGCACATGTGAATTGAAGTACGATGTTAATGAAGAGAATTATAGATCAAAAACCTAGACTAGTCCTATCCTAAACTATGTTATCAAGATCGTATTAAGAAGCCTTCTTAATACGCTATTGATGTTATATATAGGCAGCTTAATTATCACCCCTCTTATCTGATCTCAATATGGCGGCGGGGACTTTCCGATTTGACTTCTTTGCATCTACATGTGACATATACTGTTGATGTGGTGGTATTCTAGGTGGCACATATCGCCCGCTGTGTTCAACGCCTATTACATGAGGTCGCTCAATGTGATGGGTAAGTGTGATTCATACAGGAAGCATCCGCATAAGAAAATTAGTCCCGGTGCTATTATATGATCGTATATCTAACAATGCCTACACATATACGTAATGCGTAATATCAGACTAGTAGACTATATTATATGTACTTATATACACTCAGAGTATATTAAACTAATGTAAGTTAATCCTAAGTAGTATATATACACACTGTTTCTATCTCATCTAGACTGTATATGAAAACTAATCATAATAAATCTTTAGATACACTATTAAAATTCCATCGATTAAATCGCGTCATCGATTAAATAGACCCATTCATTGATCACACTTTTGTAGCCCAACACGTGCTGTTTCTTGTTTCTGCAGTGTTTCCAGCAGGAATTTTGCAACCGCCGCTCTTCTCACAAGATCTCCCGATGTACATCAATTTCGCAGGAATCGGCTTTGTGATTGGGCACGAGATCACACACGGCTTCGATGATCAAGGTAATCAATGCTACAGGAACTAAGAGTATACATAAAAATAATGTGTACATGTTCTCCCTCTTCCATCGTCAATCAATTCTCACTTCCCTGCTTGCTCTTATCTCGTGCTTTCATGCCGCGCGTGTGCGCGTGTGCGTTTGTGTGTGTGTGTGTGTGTGTGTGTGTGTGTGTGTGTGTGTGTGTGTGTGTGTGTGTTGTGTGTGTGTGTGTGTGTGTGTGTGTGTGTGTGTGTGTGTGTGTGTGTGTGTGTGTGTGTGTGTGTGTGTGTGTTGTGTGTGTGCGTCGCTGTACG